GACAAAGATTCCGCATTTATGATTCACATTTTTGCATATCAAATAAAATCTTCCCAATCATCTTACTTGCATTCGCCTGGGACACTGCATGAGCCATGTAACAGGTTGCAACCTTGCTTGCAGATCGCTAAGACGGAAAAAGAGAAACAAAATGTGTTTATTTAAATGCATCTCTTCCCATCCCATGCAACCCAGGTAATTAAAGAAGTGGAGAAATGGGGGCACCAAGACAGAAAGTGGGTGGTAGAGACGCTGGTTTGTTTTGTTTGCCTTCATCCTAACAAGTGCAACAAGACATGAAAATTCATGGCACCCTGACTAGACAACTTTATGGCCTGCATAAAACACCACCCTCTTTTTTTAAAAAACAAGCCAGGCCTTCTGCGCTCTCCTCCCCTTTTTCACCCTTCATCTTCTAAGGTCAGTTGGATGATTTATTGAGGGCCCCCCACTCTCTCCAACACCACCCACAAGCATGACCTCAACACTGCTAGACTTTAGAATAATGACCTGACCAAACATTCTACGTTTATTTATGCATACTGCACATTTCTGCCATCTTACTTTAATAATTATAGCCTTGATGATCAGTAAAGAGTAAACTGATCGGACTCCCTTTGAAAATCTGAACCCAAACTTAATAGAAACAGTTTAAAAGACATCTCAGATCTCAAAAGGCAGCGAATCTTTACAATTCATTCACGCATTTTTTATTTTTGAAGACATTCTAAGGTGCTAGGAGCTCACCTATTGTGCAGTCGTGGCCCATCCAACCCTCCAGGCACACACGGGTGCCAGAAGGTCCACAGCGGTAGTGGCCAAAGTAGTCGTCACGAGGAGAACACTGTATGTTGCACGTGCTGGTGTAGTAGTTTTCGTCACACTTTACCCGGATACGATAAGTGATGCGAGCCACGGGCCCATCGTGCATGATTGTCTGCCAGGGGTCACCAGGGTTGATCATGCCAGTGCGGGCGCTGCGCTCAATCAGCAGGTCCTCCTCAGCTGAAACAAAACGGGGTGAACACCAGTTAGTGCGATTCAGACTCACTTCCTTCTCACCACATATAAAGCAACTCAACCTGACAGTGGATCAGATATTAGTCCACTCAAAAGGTGTCCTGACAAAACGTCCATCTAAAGGGCAGTTTAGTTTTTTGACTTGATCATTGTGGTCAACTGAGTCGACAAAGTGTGAAGCTCAGACGATGACATTTCATTATTGCCTTTCTCTTGTTATGTTCAACACAAGGTTTGGAAGCTTTTATTGTACTTGTGCTAAAATAATATCCTGCCATAAACTGAATTAATATTTCACTTCATTTCACTTTCACACCTCTTGTCGGCTGAGAGCAGCTACACTTACAGTGAGAGGAGGGAGAGAAGAGTCTAACGTGACTAAATAAGAGGTATGCAATAGGTAAATTGAAAGTGGTGTTTAAGTACAGCCTGATGTTGCCTGGTGCCATGTAAAGAATCATTCCCAGCTTTTTCCTCAAAGTGAACACCACAGCTTATTCCCTACACGAACACCAACTACAGTCACTCATTTTAAATTTTTAGGCGGTCCCAGACTTCAGTGCAACTTTATGAAGCTCTGTAATGCTCCATATTTATTCTCAACCCTCAAGTTAATTTGTATAATTCACAGTTCATAACAATCCTCATAGCTCGAAGTAAAGCCGCATAGTTCTCCCCGTTTATAAAAGCAAGACATTTCAAAGTCTCTCTTTTTAAGCCAGCTTTCTTCTGATTGGCTGCCCCTTGCAAATCGATGGTCTGACCAGCAAGTGAGGGAGCCTTCTCTGCTCACCACCAGAACTGTGTCTGAGATTGCCGTTAAGGATAGCGAGGATGTCTTTTGAAAATACAGAGCCAAGGCTATGGGAAAAAAAAAAATCTGGCAGGTATTGAGCATTTACAGAGATATTAAGTCTGAATGTTTGTTGCACAGGCGGTGCCTGCACGTATGGTAGACTCCACATTTAAGCCAGATTTAAAATGATCGACTAGTTTAACAGACAAAATACAGAAAAGTGTAACAGATCCGATTTCAGACTCTGACAAACACTTGGACCACATAAATAAGGCACACATGCTGTGCAATAACCAACAAATACCCACTACCAAGGCTGAGATCCTCACACTTTTTTTCCCCCCTGCCTATTGCACGCTTCTGTCCGTCTGTTACAGACCGAGCCACAGCATCTAACAGAGTGTCAACAGTAGACTTTATATAGAAGATTACAGATTACAGTTGGAGACTTTAATATGAGAGTCTCTTGGACCTGACTTGCATCTTCAGTCACTCTCAGGAGGTTTTTTGAGATACTGCAATTTGTGGCACTTTCTGGTGGCTTCGCTTTTCAGCATCAGAAGTCACTGCTTTCTGTAAATAAGCTTCCACTTGCTATCATCAACTTAAAAGGTAATGAAGATCAATCAAGCACTTTAAAAAATAAAAAAAAACACTATCTAAGGAGTGAAACCTTGATGCAGAAGTCTCTCCGTTAACTAAGTGTTTAAAGGCTGAGGTATACTTATCAGGATGACTAAAAACTAATTTACTTGAAGCAAGTTGAAAATCGGACGCCGATGTGGAACCCTCTATCCATTCGTACAGTCACACTCAATTGTACCCACTGAATTTTAAGAGCGCTCTTGAAATTCATTGTCAATTTTCTGGCAACAGCACATATCATCTGTGAGCTTTAAACGAGCACCATCATGAAGCATCTGTGAAACATTTAAAGCCAATCATCCTCTAGCATTCAAACAGTCTACTTCTGAGGGGCAGAATGAAATAACAGGCAATCTTTTCACAGTGGAGTCAAAGCTGGAGAACAATCTCTGTGGAAATATGGGGGCCTGTGACTTCCTCCCTGGCTTTGGGCTCAATGCTCCGAAGACATTTTAAAGCAGGAACACGCACACAAGCGCACACACATTCCTCTGCTGGGGTCTGACAATGTCAGACAAAATTAAGCAACAATAACAGAAATAACCCTCGGTGGTTGCCAGATAGAGAACAATGGGCTCGGGGCCCAAGCTGGTCTCTGCTACTAAGCGTCTAAACACTGAGCCCGGCCACCCAGTCCAGTCCACTTCCTGCTCGATAAACACAAGGAAAACAGCCGGCGGCCTTTCCTGAGGACACAGGGGGAAGGGAAGAGGGGTGCTATGGAGGACATGACGCTGGAAGAGAGGAATCTCACCGACATCTTCGACACACTGGTAGGCTCTTACGTAGGACCAGACATGACCCTGATGCTGACTCAGGCCAGACAAGTTCAACTTAATGTCTCAGACTGAGAATGTCATGAATTTAACTGATCTTTTACACATCATTCTGCATGAAAATGAATGAAGAAAAAGAATAAAAATAATAATCACCTGAGCGGTCGATCACCATAATTACTTTTTCCCCTCATTACAACACTTGCCTGCTGGCGGTGTAAAAACCTACAACATATTTACCTTCACCTTCTGCATTTTACATGTCATTCAAGAATTTGTTGTGTTTTTCCTTTGAGTGCTACTTTAAGTAGTGCTGCTTAAAAAAAAAAAAGAAGAAAGAATCCATCTGTGCAAAAACGACAAATAGTTCAATGACACGCAAAAGCAAAACTTAAGTATCGCTGGCTCATGACAAGTGTGAATTATGGCTACACTTGGAGTGGCGTGTCTCCAGAATATTCAACTTTGCAGTAGCTTGCAAATGCAGACCCTGTTCTGTTCTGCAAACTCTGAACAAAGTCTCCACCTGCTACAGGTTCTAGTTAGAGTGCACCTCTAGTACACAGTGAGTCAGAGTACACCACTGGGGTGAGGAGGTCTCTGAAGAGGCAAGTGAATGACAAAGGAGCACTACAATGGGGACGAACAGGGAAACATGAGGAAGGAAGACTGAATATGTCCCAGCATTGATTCATTAGCATTGGTGTCCATATTAATACAAGCACTGTTTTTTCAGCACTACCAACTGACTTAACAGACTCCTTTTTTTTGTTTTTTCTTGCAATGGTTACAATGGCTTCAAGCTGCAGTTCCACATGTATCCATTAGTATAGATCAAACTATGGATTTGGTTGTTGCACCCCAATTCTCACCAATATGTGGTGTTCTGGCGTTGGCCCAGTATAGATCTAATGTATTAGTACTGGTGCTTCAATGTTCATGATCAGACCAGTCAGTGCAGCCAAAGAAGACAAAAGAAGACAAAAAACCCACTGATAGGTCTCTAGATTTGTGTGACTGGTGCTTTAGTAGTTGCTAACTAGCTATCGTATGATATAATATGATATATGACAAGTTTGCTCAAGTGAAAGCATGTTTTGGTGGAAGAAAATCTTTTACCATCAGTAACAAAGGGGTTCAGGTGATGCTTTTCTGTTCTGTAAATCTAGATGAAGGCTTGACATCTTAGAACAGCGGTCCCCAACCCCCAGGCCACAGACAAGTACGGGAGTCGCTTGGTACCAGGATGCGAGAGTTCAGGCTTGGGTGTGAAATTTATGGTTTTCAGGTTGTTGTTTTTTTTTTTTTATTATTATTAACTCTGTTTCTCTGGGTCTTTTCCTGCATTGTAGTTGTGTGTCTTATTTTGAAAGAAATATGTATGCGTTACCATAGCGACCAGAGAGCATTAAGGGGCAGAGGGGACGATGTTTCTCTCAATGTTGTTGGCGCATTTCAGGAGGACGCTGCTAATAAAGTTACAATTACACAGTGAATTCACGTTTATTATTGTATTTACAAAATACCACCGTTTTTGTCTTTGTTGTATTGTTTTATTTTGTTGTATTTATGGATGACACCTTAAAGGCCAGTCTGTGAAAATCATGTCTGACATGTAGCGCAAAAACGTTTGGGGACCGCTGTCTTAGAACTACTGGAAATGAGGTCCATGTCTTTCTAACAAGTCTCCCCATTTATAAAAAGTTGCCTTACCATTACTCATGAAATAAACCTACTTCTAACACGTTGCTAAGAAAAGCACAGGACACCACTGCTAATAAAAAGATACCTGACAAGACAAATTCACGTGTGACCTGTCCAACCCTCCCACCTGCTGAGAAAAGCTGTAATAGCTGCCCAACTCTGACATAAGCTTGCTACTACTGCAGACTGGCCCACCATCCTCCACAAAAAACAAAACAAATGTGTTTTTTTTCCCCAGACATTGTTATTTCTTGAACTTACTGCATTAAGGTAAGAAATTTGGGACATAAAATCCGATGACATCTGAAAATGACAATGAAAATAAAAATAAAAAAAAATAAAAAATCTAAGCTGCCTGAGATTCAAAGGACAGTGTAATTAAGGTTTTTCTATAGTTTGGCATTTTCCTTCTCATCTTGGTGAGGAGTCCCTTGGTGAGGAGTCCCTTGGGGAAAAAAAAAAAATTCATGTTCTTTATAGCAATTTGGCTGAGACTAAAGCGAGAGTAGTTGGCAGATAACCAACTGGTCTGTTACTCAACAACTGGGCCGTACCACCTTCAGAAACATCAGAACTAATTACCGTAAATGTACACAATCAGTGCAGAAACAGGAGACTACACAGTCTAATCAAAGAGTGATGATGTCAAAATCTATTTCTTCTCCATTGTCTGCATTCTCAAGTGGAAGTGTGTTTGATGTTATGGACAAAACAGGATGCAGTGACCTCATATAAACAGAACAAGCTCAAGACTGGACAAGACAGGATGGCATGATTCAATACAAAAATTAATTCACCCTTGCATGCACATAAAGTTAATAGAGACACATGAAAAATGACACCTTCCTCACAGATCAAAGTTACATCTAGACATGCAGACATTATATGCCTCAATGTGTCCTCTTCCTCCTAGACTGGGCTACTGCTCAGATGGGGGAAAAAAAGAGGGTCTACAGGAGTCCACCCAGCGGACATAACAAAGGAAAACAGGATACAGCTGGTCAAAACTGACTGCCACAGCCAACATAGCCAAGGAAAACCAAGGCTTGTATTCTTTATAAGGAGTCTTGTCCTGTAATTCGTGACCTCTGCCATTAAGCTATCAATAAACTATGTGTCACAAAGTATTTAAGAAATTTGGAGGATATGCTGGAAAGATCTTTGGCACATTTTAGTGGAAATGATTAAACGTAATGTAGCGTCATGTGTTTTTAACTGTAAGATGCTCTCATTACGGTATTAAAATAAATAAATAAATAATGAAAAAAATACATTAAAAAAAAACCTTACTACACACACTGGATTGCAATCAAATCAAATTAGAAACTCAAGTACGGATGTCGATACTAAACTCAAAGAAATCCAGCGCCAGTCAAGATTTGTACTGAACACTTCTTACTGACAAACTCTACATAGTGAAATCCAAAGCAGTATGATGAAGGTGAGGTTTAAACTTACTTTCTCGTGTCTTGTTGTCCCAGTCCCAGGCCTCTACAATCAACGTGTATGTCCGCTGAAGGAAAAAGCAAAAACAAAGACATTAGTCACATGGTATTTATGACTCACTATTTCAGTTTTGTGCAGGTGGGCCTAAATGAGCTTTCCAAGTGTTGGCCATTGACTGGTATAATGTGAACAACAGGAGTCTTCGGGATCATGCACATGTAATAGTTGTGTCCATAAGCTGCATTTTTGCAGCTCTTTTTCCTTCTACAATCACACTCTTCAGTAATGAAACAGAAATCAATGCATTTCCAGTAAATGAAGATGCAAACAGAGTCTATCAGAGTACACCTTATATTCCAATGCACGCACAAATGTTTGGGACTATTAATGACAGGCCACACTGTAATGCCTGCTGTACAATGAAAAGTTCCACTTTATTCAGTGATTACTGTGACCAGTCCAATTGTGACATGGCTGTTGTAGCACGAAACCCAGTGAGCAATGCAAGACAGAATTTCAATTTATTTTACTCGTCTTGAAGGTAACCTTGTTGACATTAAATCTAAAGACAAAGAGGAATTGAGGACAATGAAATATTCTCCAATCAGTTTTTGTTTTTTGTAACTAGAGGGGGGGGGGGAGAGGAGGGAACATTAAACAGCCTTTGTCATTTTGTTCCTAAAAATCACAGCAGTACGCATTAATAACGACAGTCGTTTCCTAAAAACAGACCGAACCATGGAGATGATCATTTTAGCCTCAGTTGTGCTGCTCTCAAACATCAGCACGCACGGATACAAAAATCAATTTTACTGCTACTACAGCGTCTCATATGGACCTCGGCCCCATTATCCAAAGGTATGCTGAAGTTACTGCTGAATCATTGGGTTTCATTGACAGTGTAAGACAACAAGTACAACTGTGGAAAAGAGCCAAGACAGGGAACAGGACTTCGATGTGAAAAGTACATGACAGGAAGATAATGCATCGCATTGGGTATTGGGATTATAGCTGGTTTAAAAGAGTTTTTGTACCCTTACAGAGCGGTCCAAACACATCAAAACGAGATAAGAGCCATTCAGGAATACAACTACAAGATATAGTACATGTCAGGCAGGGGCTATGATCACATGTACACATTTCAGTCTAATGTGCAAAAGTGATGTCTAATTTTTCTTTGGCTCAATCCAGTGGAACAGAATGAATCTATAGGCACTCATGTTGATTTTGTTTTAATGAAGTTTAGCAGCCATTATACAAAGATTCTGGCACCCAAGGTTGGTGCCATCATGGAGCTCAAATCAGGTAAAGAGCCATAGATTTATTGTTTGTCTGAATAAACCAAAAAACCAAAGCCAATCTTTCCTGCTTCAGTTTCCAGTTTTTAAGTTTGCCTTTTATCAAAAAAGAAATTTAAAAAAAAAAAAGAAAAATCTGCAAAAATGTACGGTCACTTTGCCAGTATAAGCTGTGTGAGATGAATTGGCTTTATCCTTGGTTGTCAGACAGTGAAAGAAAGCAGCAGCTAAGGGGATTATCTTGTTTCTGTCCAAGTTATGCTTTACAGTTAACCAGTACGACAGCACTACATGGGTTTTACCCTCTGCTGAAATTATTGTGCAATTAATAATAAAGACGAGCAAAGATACGATTGATGATCTATTGATGGCGTTTCATTAACGTAAAAGCTCCTCTGGTTGCTTAACTCACCTCGACCAATGGACAGATGAGACTGCCCACTCTAGTGCAAGTCAGTTTATGGACTGAAATTGTTTTATTCACACTTAATGGAAACCAGACGACCGTTTGCGTTTTAAGCAACGATGCAGCAAAAACTTGAGCATTCTGCACAGCTGATGCTGCTCGAGTAAACACCAGCACACAAAATAACCAAACTAACCAGTATCACAGTAATCTAGCTGGTGTGCTGCAGGGCACACTGCTAGGCAACTAGCTGACCTAAATAGCACTCGTTACGTCACCGCCAGTGACAGTTGTAGTAGCCAGTGTGACTGCTGTGATCTCTAGTGTAATGTCAATGACGGGGCATTAATCTCAGTGTGGATGGAAGAAGAAAAAAAAAAAAAAAGATAGTAGTAGTATTTGAGCTACTTAAAGTTGAATGAAATGAGGAGGAGAAATCAGGGAGGGTCACTGTAAAACATGTGTACGTCTGCCTACGTTGTTGTTCTGGGGGACCAACAAGCTGGTAGGCTAGTTGCTGCTGGGCTGTGGGATTAAAGAGGCTTGTCTGGCTGTGGGTGGCAGCGGGAGGAAGGGGAGGGGAGTGTTATTGTGGAAGATCATTGGTGAAAAGAGAACGGGATGGAAGATGACAGGATAGGTGTGAGCGGGAGGGCTTGGGTTAATAAGGATTGGGAGTGCAGGTGTATGAGATTGTGCGTATCCAGGCAAGACAACATTAGAAGAGAAAAGGCGGCTGGCGTGAAGAGATGGAAAGCTATAGTTAGGAGTTAAGAGAAATCAGGGGATCAGGGCATCGGCAGACTCGTGCTTCTGTTGCCGGAAGCTTTGGCAACCCATCCGACCGCAGACACACAACAGATGCAGGCTCAAACGTGGATTATTATACATGAACGTGCATCATCCCACGACACGTAGACGGCTTCTGACCTTTCTAAACACCCACCCTCCCCCAACAACAAAAGGGTGGGCTGGCCGACCCACTCAGAGCATTTGGATGGGTGGGTGCATATGCCAGAGGATATAAAGAGGAACTATAAGTGGCAATACATGCATTTGGAACAGGAGATCTTAGAATGAAGCCTGTCTGTTTCGTGAGACTACGCAGAGAGACGAACCTCGTCGTGACGCACATTCAAAGATTAAACAAAGAAGGGGTGGTCATACCGTGACTTGCACCTTTTAGGGTTTACTTTAAGTCCAGGCTTCCTTACATGTCTACATGTAGTAAACGTTTGAGTAAACAGTCCCGAATCAGCGCACGCTGGGGATGAGCAAAGCCATGGACTAGTCTGGTTTCCCACAGACCGTCCCCGTCTGTGATTAGCTGGATTAAGTGACAGCTGCCCAAATGGTTGGAACAAGATAGATGGATGGGCAGAGGGATAAAGGGGAGGAGTGGGGGAGGGAAGGGGGTGAAGGCAACTGAACAAAGACCCTTGTCCCAACACCGTAACTCACCCCCATTCCAATCAAAACCATTGTCCATGAAGAGACACAGTCAGCACGGGGACAATTAGTGTCAGCATGTGTGCTACTGAGCCTGAGCAGCACAGTTGAATTGCTGAAGTCAAAACAAGCCGCCAGTGGCTCCTGTGCAAGTCCTAATCATATAATCAGACTCAGAAAGTATCCTAACATCATTAACCTGCCCTTTTTTCAACTCAAAACACATCAGCCATGTCTGACAGCGTGAAATACATCATTTGAGACTACAAAGTATCTGCAGTCAAATCTCCAAAACCCTTCCTAATGGATTAGAGGATTTACTTGGAGAAATCCTAGCTTTCAAGTCAAGAAGGGGGAGCAATGGTAAGAAACAAAGGATGTTTGTTGGATGCACTCAGTGACTTTGAGGTAATGATGCACTGACATTTAAGGAAAAAAAAAAATCATTATCTATTCCAGGTAGTTATTTTAACTCTCCACAGTAGACCACAATGCTGATAAAAGCAAAGGATGTACCACTAGTAATGTCTGGGGAGAGCTACAGGTGTAGGTTCCCACGCCAGACGATGGGTGGATGGGTGAGTGGAAGGTGGCTGTTGAAATAATAAAAGGGACGGGGAACAGAGAGAGGTGGCAGTGGGAAGTGGAAGCCGGGGCAGGTTGGGGTCACTAAGCATGGGATCTGCACGCTTCTTTTTCAAAAGAGGGGTCAGCCCTCTGTATGTGGGGGCGACGTGCGGGTTTGCATTCGAAGAATACTGAGAATGTGAGATCCAGGGCTGGTGTGTAATCCCATGCAACATCCCCGTCTGCCAACAATTCCGTATCGTTGGAGGGGTGCGTCTGCTTTGTAGATCACAGCTTTGATTGACTAATTTCTGTCCCCTGGGGAAAGTTGGGATATCAACCGAGCTTTGAGAACAACTTTCACATAGTTACTGTAAAAAAGGTCTCAGATTAGCACTCGCAATTTAAAAGGAAACACAAACAAACAAAAACAAAAAAAGCCCCGTCTGTGTCCTAGAGCTATTTTTGTTTCGCATGTCTGCTGAAAGTAGCCTATATGGCCACCTCCAAGCTCGTCTACAGAGAGTTTAACTGATGTCTCTTGATTTATTGCCTTCTGATGGGACAAAAGGTCATCACAATTCATTCCATGGCCAGTAATCGCCACATGTAATCTTCATTAATCTGCGATGTCAATCCCAGCTTTTGATGTTAATAGGGCCGAGTTTACACTATTCTAGTGTAAAGGCACTGCACTAGAAGTCCTTCCTGGACTGGACACAAGAGCATGTGACACAGGATCTCTGGAAGAACTGCTAAAAATCTGGATTAATGAGAGATATGACATGCTATGTCACCCTTAATATTTAGTACCAGGTAAGGTGAGAAATAACAGAATTAATCTGGTATTGCCATTTCCTAATGAATCAGGATCAGTAATCAAGCAACCCCAAAGCAGAGAAGTTTCCAAGGGAAGGAAAGCATGCTCGGGTATAGGATTTTAGCTATTAGTACAGCTATTTTAGGGTAAAACATTTGAAAAATAAAATAAAATAAAATTGTGACCTTCCCATCACTTCTGCCAGTAGAGTGGACTTCAAATGTAAATCTCTCAGACTAGCTCCTCAATCTGTTCAGAGGCAAGGATCAAAGACCTCCAGTGGCAAAGTCCTTGCATATGTTGGCAGGCAGAAAGGTTGGATGGTTTTTGACCCTTCTTGACATCAGTGTTGGAACAGCACGGTGGCCATTCCAGGATTCCAGGTATGAAAAACTAGGAAAACTAGGAAATTAATTTTCAGTCATAAAGACAATTAGAATCCAGAGCACACAAATATATGATTAATGTCATCAACCTATCAAATATTTATGACATAATCCTGTGATTTTAACATCTTTAAAGGAGGA